AAATGTAAGGAGCAATTTTCTCACCTTGCTCCTTTTTTAGAATACTTCTAATGGTGCTATAATTCTTAGGTTCCATGGTAGATCTGATGTAAATGAGCTTCATATTAACTATTTTTATATAGAGGCAATTCTATATATCACTTAAGATAACAAATGGAAGATTTTAATAATCACATTACTAAATTTTGATCCATGAATCTTTGGTAATACCAATGTTCACTTTGTCTGGTTTTGTTGCAGTATGCCCCATTTATTATATGGGTAAAACTTTTAATTTTTTGATATTTTGATTGTATACTAAAATGGGTAAGAGGAAAAATGATATTTGCTTAAAAGGGTAAAAAAAAATATGATGTTATCCATCCGTAGATGTTATTTCCTTCTAAATGATATATATATCCAAATTTAAATGGTAATGTTGATTGATGATAAATATGTTTATTTATCATGAAGGTCCTATACTCAAAAGTCAATCAGGGTGTATATATCACGTTACAATATCAGATTTAACCTATTTGATACGTGTAATGTGATACACCCGCGCACAAAAGTTTCTTCTGAAATGGGGAAAAAGAAATGATTTTGTGGTGCTACAAGAAGTTTGTGATACAAATCAAAATTGCGTGCTTTTAACAAAATTATGTAATATATATATAATTAATTATTAATATATAAAAAAATGGGAATTTTTTGAAAAGTTGCTTGTAAATTCAACACTCCTTGTTAAAATATAAAAGCCGCACGGCTTGAAATGGGCAACCAAATCTAATCAATTGCAATATGAGCAAGTATTGGGAGATGTTTGATAAATAAATTTTACCCAGTCAGTAATATGTAAGTCATCATCATAATATTTTTTACAAATGACTTTTACTTATTACACATATATATATTATACTATTTTTAAAAAGTTAAATGCGGTTTTTTTTAATATTAATATATATATTTATTTAATAGTGATGCACATGATTCAATAAGTCTGTCATGCAGGGGCGGCGGACACATGTGAAGGACTTATCGAGTAAAACCGACTTCCATATAAATTTTTATTTAATTAATAATAAATGTTTAAAATAACGTATATAATTATTTGTCTAGGTTGTTTTAAAGGACATCTATAATGGTCAATGATTATCACATGACTTTTAAAAGCTTATAACTCCTTATTAAAAAAGAAAAAGAAAAAAGTAAACCTATAGAATTAAAGCTAAAGACCTAAGCTTCATTTCCATCGGTTTATTTTTTCTTTTTATTAGAAAATTTTTGAGTTATAAGGCTTCAAAGTGAGGCCATTTTATATATGTCTATGTTAATGTGTAAATTGTAAAAAATTTTTCATGATACAGAAATCTTTCCAAAAAAGAGATCTAATTACTTAATTAGAAAGATTTTTTAAAATTTTAAATTTCGGACTGCGACATTTATAGACGAATCATAATTTGATGTCCCGGCACTACTGAGTTATTTTACTCGTATCGGAATTTTGAATGCTCTATATATATGTGTAGTTGCTAGTCGACTAACCGTAGTCGCGACTAGAAATTTCCAAGTCAACCAAGTCGTGACTAGGTTTCACTCGTGGCTCAAACCTAGAAAAAAAATTTAATCGGCTAGCCACGACGCGTGACTCTTGCAATGCGAAGGTGATTTAATTGATGTTATTATGCAAAAATTTTCACAATTAATGAAAAACGAAGTTCGGAATTTTAAGTGTATCATCATTTACTGACATGAGAAGAAGAAAATCAGTAACTTTTTCTTGAATTAAATTAAATTATTTCAGATTTATTTAATTGATTGAAACATTCCAATGATTGAGATTTTAGTTATTTGACAAAAGCTGGCACTATTATTACTTTCGCCAATCAGAAATTGTAAGCAAGCCATAATCTGATAAATATATTAATATGTAAAAAATCGGTACCCGATTTATGTCACAATCTCGTAATTTTTTACTTTGTAAAAGCCTCATTTGTGATCTGATCTTGGTGATAAAATTTTACTTTGAAAAAAAAAATATAGGACATGGCTTTGATAGATTAATATTTTATTTTTGTACATTTCCACAAAGTTAATGTTTTTGTAATACGATAAATAAAATAAATAATAAAATAGGCTGTGAGTTTCCCCCATGACGTCAAAAATGATTATCTTGTAGGATAACAAAAAGTGATCAAATTAAATTATGTATTATGATAATGACCAAGATTGTGTCAACCCAAGCGCGAGAATTTATATTCTATTTGTTCCGTTCTCTTAAAATTTTCTTCCTGGTTTTTTTATTTTGGATATCTATTTTGGCACCTTTGGCATTCTGTAATACAAACCATTGAAGTAGTATTTTTTTACTATCCTTTGAATATTTCCAAGTGAATTTAACGTCAGTTGCCGTTCTAGTCCAGAGTTTTCATATCCTTTTGTATGGACAGAATATATTATGTTATTATTACCATTGCTGTTTTACACAGGATGTAAAACCACGTGTAAAACCTCACGTATTTCTGAAGAATCCCTCGCAAATCTGCCGATATAATCATTACTCGGACAAGGTAAACCATTTCCATCAAGGTTTGAATAATAATCATCATCCCAAGTACTTTATATCAACAGATGTCGTTTTTTCATATCTGTTGATGTCAAAAAAATTAATTTAAGTTGATAAATTTTGTTCTTTGTTTAAAGAAAGGTAGATTGTATACTTATCAACGCAAAGTATTTTTCCCTAATATTCTAGCAAAGGTTTAAATTTTCCATTGCGAGCTTATTAGCATAATTCTTTTAACAGATTATACTGAAATATTTATATTTATTATACCTATCTACATAAAAGTTGGTTTTCTCATTCTTTTAATTTTCAACTGATTCCATTCATTTTAATCAATCAGCAGAAGTGATGAAATTAAAAATATTTTAAAATTATTATTCTCATTATTTTGATATAGATAGATGTCTACTAATTGTGGTGCATCTGTAAAGGATGTTAGTCCTCATGAATTTGTAAAAGTATATGTAGACTTTTAAAAAAAATCAGGAAAATTAGAAATACCTAAATGGGTAGATCTAGTAAAAACAGGTTCGTATAAAGAGTTGGCACCCTATGATCCGGATTGGTTTTATATCAGAGCTGGTAAAGAGATTCATTATTAATTAATTTATGTTTGGTTAGATAGGCTCTAATCCTTGAACTTAAAATGAGTGGATTTCAATTGTGAATTATTATTTAGCTTCTGTTGCTCGCCATATTTATTTACGCTCCAGTGTTGGTGTTGGTGCATTGAAAAAGCTTCATGTGGTCGCAAACGTAGAGGTACTCGTTCCTCTCATCAGTCAGATTCATCAGGAGCCGTTGCTCGCAATGTTCTTCAATCTTTGGAGGTAATTAAAATTTTGGAGAAAGATCCTAAAAAAAAGATTTATTTATTTAAGATTAGTGATGAATTTTTTATTAATTTATTATTTTTAAAAAACAATTATTCTTTTTTATTATAAAAAATAGCTGTCGAAGGATTACACGGGATGAATAACGTGATCTTGATCGTATTGCTAAGCTTCTCTTAGAAAAGAAGACGACGACGAAGAAGAAAAAGTAGAAGCTGGAAATGATTAATATAATGATTGATTAATTTTATTTGCCAATCAAATGATCGTAATAATAAAGTTATACTCGAATAATTGCCAGCAAACAATATCAATTGACTTGTCTTAAAAAAAATCTAATCCGAATTTATTATAAATCCAAAATCAAATCATCAACAGGATTTACCCATAAACATTATTATTATAAATAATCAATGTTTAAAATATTACTATTATATCTATTAATTAATTTTACAAAGCCATCTAATAATAATTGTTTTACTCCTTAAACTTCACCAACATAAGAACTATTGACTTTTGAAATTTTACCGTTGATCTCTGATGATGTACTGCTTTACCATCAAGTAATGAAGAAATAAAAGATCTTATAAAAAAAAAATAATTATAAATAGTTGTCATGATCGTTTAATTCGAATTGGTGAGAATTTGAAAAGCCAAAAATTATTTGATACGATTAATTAAATACCTTTTTACAATCACTTTAACATATAAAAAAATTTTTTTTTTAGTCAACGTACGCAAGCAATTTACAATAATTTGATGGTCGTCAATTAATATTTCATATTTACCAATTGTATTTGGTATTCTCTTGCTTACTGTCTCTTCCTTGCACCAAGAAAGATTCCGCGAATCTTACATGATAATTATAAAATACGGCTCACTTATTTACTTATGACTGGTTTATTTCAGTCCTTTGCATTTATTGGCTGACACATTGATTTGTTTACAAATTTCTTGGTAGCTTGTTTAACAGCTATACTTTTTACAATAATGATGATACCGGTATGAACCTAATGTTGAATATTTAGATATGAAAGAAAGAAAGTGTATTTGTTAGTTTCCTCAGATTACGAAAAAAATATAACTATAGCAACATATATGTATATTCCTCAATATCTGGAATTGATCAAGAGCACTGGGGTTGATGACATGAGAAAAGATACTTTTCTCGGAGTAGAATCATAAAATCCAACGATTGGTGATGTGAGAAAAGTGAATGCGAAATTAATGGTGTCATCAATATTCAAAAAGATTGCAAATTTTCTCGCAAATCCATTATTAGCTATAACATCTCAGGTTCCCGAAAGGAGGTAAATACCATTTACAGAAGATCCGATCGTAAAAAGAATAGATAATAAGCAAAAGGAAGCGAAAGCACAAAGAAAAAGAAGTCGTTGTTTTTTGCTTGTTAGACTATTGAATAAATAAAAAAAAAACTATATCAGAGAATGCCAACTGAAGATTGAACTCAACAAAACCGGCTCGTAAAATCAAGCCTTTTCATTTTTGTGCCGACGCAAATACGTTTGGATTGCGATCCTAAATAGATGATCACCATCAACGTTCTGATGAGATGAATTTGGTAATTACTAACTAATTATTTACATTGAGCTCCAATGTGAAGGAAGGGTCTTATTTTATCGTGCATTGTGAGTTTATCATTAACTTCATTATATAGTGCATATCCCTGCCGCAGAAATTTTACCGGCCTTGAAAGCCAAGGCTTTTTTTACAAAGTTATGATTTTATTTTGTTGGTACTTAATATGCACTATTGTACTTTGGCTACGTGATCTGTTACAGAAAAAGTTAAAATTGCTGTCTAGGCACCAAATTAAGCACGAATTAACTTTTATAAAATTTTAATTCAAAGAAAAAAATTGACATTTCAACAGTTATTATCACCAGATAGAAAAGGATTTGTACAAGAACTTTTAATGAAATTTATGTTCATGAGAACTATTTAAATGAAACTGGCAGAGAAACTGAAAAAAAATTATTTATCATTGGTAAATGAAAATAAAGAAATGAAAAAGATTGTAAAGAACCGGGTTTTCCGATAAATCTGGTTGAAATGATAGTAATAGTAATGGTAATGGTAATAGAAATAGCAAAATTATTATTTGTTTTGCAACTATTTGGAAATCGGTTTTTTCGAGGTGATCTATTTTAAAACGATTTCGTCAACTGTCGAACGATTTGGCTATATCTTACGGGTCTGATTCATTTTGTCGACAGTTCATATGATTTTAGGGTAACATATTGGGAGGTGTCATACAAGTAGATCAACAAATCTAATTAATATCATTAATATGTACGGTTTTTTTATGGATGTTACACGGAATACTGTAAGGGAAAATTTACCAATTTAAAAAAAAGAAATAAAAACAAAAAAAAACAGAATTATGTTCAGAAGATACTCTTCTGTAATACTAATATACATTTTGAAATGTTATTGCATGGCGAATTTCTAAGGAAACAATAATAAAAATAAAAATTCCAAAAGACCCGTTACAATATAACAAATGTTGATTGTGATTTTTTCATCACTGGTATTTGTTACCTTCAAAGACCTCTCTGTACCAATAAACTAGATATATTATACATTTCATACTCAAAGTTGGAAACAATACCTCTCTTTTTCACTGACTAGTAGCATTTTGAAAAATGTGTTTTTATTATATCCGTTACACTATTGGCAATTTTTGATGAAGACGTTTTCATCAATGGTGTTTGTTACCTTCAAAAATCTCTCTGTACCGATAAACTAGATATATTATACTATTCCATATCCAAAGTTGGAAATGATATCTCTCTTTTTCACTGACTAGTAGCATTTTGAAAAATGTGTTTTTATTATATCCGTTACACTTTCAGCAATTTTTGATGGTGACGTTTTCATCAATGCTGTTTGTAACCTTCAAAAATCTCTCTGTATCGATAAACTAGATATATTATACTATTCCATATCCAAAGTTGGAAATGATACCTCTCTTTTTCACTGACTAGTAGCATTTTGAAAAATGTGTTTTTATTATATCCGTTACACTTCAGCAACTTTTGATGGAGACGTTTTCATCAATGGTGTTTGTTACCTTCAAAAATCTCTCTGTACCAATAAACTAGATATATTATACTATTCCATATCCAAAGTTGGAAATGATATCTCTCTTTTTCACTGACTAGTAGCATTTTGAAAAATGTGTTTTTATTATATCCGTTACACTTTCAGCAATTTTTGATGGAGACGTTTTCATCAATGGTGTTTGTTACCTTCAAAAATCTCTCTGTACCGATAAACTAGATATATTATACTATTCCATACTCAAAGTTGGAAATGATATCTCTCTTTTTCACTGACTAGTAGCATTTTGAAAATACGATTTTATTTATTGTTTTCTTTGCGTTGTCGATCATTAAAAAAAAATAACTTAGTGATCGACACTATATCAGTCGCAGGACATTGCGGATTTACAGGGGGTCAAGTGTCACTCATATGGGGAGTACTGCAACAAAACCAGACAAAGTGAACATTGAGATTACAGGGATGCTAAATGAAAAAATTTTACCAAACATCACAATTGTGATATAGAAATAATCCTATATCCAGAAATCTTGCTGAAAATAAAACAAATGCTTTAATTATCATTTAATTTAATTATTGCCAATTAGTAAATAGGAAAGATTATTAATGCACTGTAATCTTTAACTGTTTATAAAGTAAAATCATTATTTGAATAAACTAATACATCAATGGCTTGAGAGGCAGGCTATTTAATAAACAAAATTCAATGATAAAGACATTGCTAATTTGCCTTCAAAAAAAAGTCTAATTACCAATAGAAAAAACAGAAAGAAGAAAATGCCAATTGATTGAGAATGTGTGTGTAAAAAATAGTGATTATTGTTTATTATCATTTTTTGGAAATGCTGAACAACTACATACAGAATCAAGGTACGTCTCATTTTTCTCAATTTTTTCTAGAACAACTTGTGCTGCCAATTTTCTTGCTGCTTGTATATTACTCATGGAGCTTGCATGTCCAACTACAGTATCATGAACAAATATTGTACACTGTTGACTTTCCATTTCTGTGTTTTCTGTCATAATATTCCTATTTTTAAAATAAAAAATAATTATTAATAAATATAATATATATAAAAATATTAAAAGTTAAAAGTTTACCTTAACAAAAATTGAGCACATCCATGCTTTTGTATTATTTCTGTAAGTTGTTTCACCGGATGTACTTTCAATGTATCAGGAGTAACATGTTTACTCAAAACTGGCTTGATCCATAAATCAAAAAGTTTTTGAGGAGCCTTAGGATCAAACATTGAGTCTACAAATATAGCACCTAGCATACTTTCTATCACATCACTCATAACCTTGGGAACTTCCAAGTCGCTCCAATATTCACCATGATCTTCATTTTTTTCTCTCATATCTTCAACTATAGATGAAAAATTTGTAATGGCACTTAATAATTTTGCTGAAAAATGAATGATATGTTTTTGGAGTCCAACTACTTCACAAATGGCCCCAAGAATTTGCTTATTAACCGATGCATTTTTTAGGTCTGTAATTATTCCCAGTGGACTATCTGGATATTTTTCATATAAATACTTTACTGTCAAGAAATCTAATATAGCATTTCCTAGAAATTCAAGACGATGATAACATGAAGTTGTAGAATTGGGTAAACTGGCATGTGTGAGTGCTTCAGCAATTAAGTGCTTATGATTAAAAGTGTAACCACAAATTTCCTCAATCCTCTTAAAATCTACATTTTTATGATCCTTAAGAGATACATGTGGTAGGTTTTTATTCCACTCATAAAACTGTTCCCATTTAGTAATATCATCAAATGGAACTTCCAATGCCCCAGTCCTGCTTGTTCCTCCCCAGTCAAATATGCTGCTCCTAAAAGGGCTTCTACCACATCAGCAAGTGTTTTATCTGCTAAATCATGAACTTTATTTTTTTTTGAATTTTCTGGGTCATCAGTAATGGTTATCATATTTGCAGGTCTCCATGCTCTACAATTAAAGGCAAGGAATTTATATGTTCATATAGATGTAGTTTTTTTGCACTTCTACAAAGTGTCTTGTTGCAAATTATTTTAACACGTTGATTATGAAGTTGACCTTCATGTTTTTCAGGAAATGAAACATATAATCTAACAGTTACGCAAAATTTTAAAAATGAATCACCAAGAGTCTTGAGGCGTTCATAATTCATTTCCATATTTGCGGATGGTGTAGTTAATGCCGATAGCATATATTCATCATCAATAGGTAGATCCAATCTATGCTTTAATTCTAATGCCAAAAGTTGTGAATCCAACCTTGTAAATATGGATGGTAATAAAAGCACAGACCTAAACACTGAAGCTTTGATCGAATATTCTTTGCAAAATTCTGGTATTACGTATGTTGCTGTTCTTCCTTTTAATATAGGAAGTGCACCGGGTATGGGTTGTAAGAAATTCATGACTCTTGAAATTTTTTTAACTTTAATTAATGGTTGATCAAGGTTTTTCTACTTCAAGTTCAAATGTTTTTTTATAAAATTCACCAAAATTTTGACAACCCTTTTCTCTTATGGCCGTTCCTTGTGGTATTGGTGATAATGGGTTTAGATCATAACAGATTGATTGTACAAAATAACGTCTTAGATTATCAGAGTAATCGATTATAACGGCATCCTCCAACTTTGACATATCATCCAGTTCAACTTTTAAATGTTTGTGTGTTATTGCTTTCTCAACTTCATACCAGTCAATAAAATCAAAGGAATTTTCATGAATTGGTGCGTATTGAGTAAGTGGGGCGACTAGATATGAAAACTTATCAATATCACATACAAACTCTTTATTTACTATGGAAGTAAATAAACAAAGCGTAAATTTGAAAAGCATTTCCAACTTTTCCAACTCAATTTTGATTGGCTTTGAATAAGGAAATAGATTTAAAATTTTGGCATTGGAATGAAAAAATAACGTGGTGGATGGAACTTGAGGAATTTGTTTACGGCTCAATAAACACAATGTGCGATAGCATTGTCCATCGTATTTTTCGTCTTCTAACTCCAACTTTATTATTGTAATGTATAACTCATCATCCTTCTTATGGTGCTGTTTTTTGGGGGCTCCATCTTTGCTGCTGTAATTATAGTTGTGTAAAGCATTAAACAATTTGTTTGTAAAATGAGTTAAGAGGTTATAATAATTAACTAGAGTGACGACGGGTGGCAGGCGATAACCACCACCACCATCCTTAAAACACTTACCCATATGTATCTTTAGTTTCTTGATCTCTTTTTCTTTTCTTATTGCTTTCAGTTCGATTTTTTGGCATCTTTAAAAAAAGAAAAGTTTGTTATTTGATCGACGCGTACACATTGATTATTTATCCTATTGGTTTTTTTTTTGGTAGGACAGACGCGAATTGATTTTTTTTTTCTTGGAAAAACAATCTTATTTTTTGACAGAGTCCAAGGTGACAAAACGTGAACGTTGTTGTTTGGTTGGTTTTGGGTCTCCTAAAGAAGGCGTGTTAATAACTAACCAGAGGTACTTTTTTTTAATTTGCATTGTCTTTTTTGGTTATTATAAATATTTTAATTGGAAATCAAAATGCGGAGCAGATCTTGCTGGGTAATTACAAGATTTTCATTGATAATATTTTACTTTTCTTGACCATTAATAATATCATTATAAATATATAATCACAAGAAGATATCAAGGCAGCACACTTTTGAAAAAGAAACATTTCGAGTATGGATGTTTGATTATCGGAAATTGGCAGGTGTTAAGCACACGTGCTACTTTGAACACTTTACAGTCATTCACTCGTTCCTCGTGTACATAAGGCTAATCTGACCTGCTCCCTCCGATGTATACAATGATGCAACAGAATTCCAGGGGGCGGGGGCATGGCCCTGGAGTTTACCAAGATTGCATCAATCGTCAATGACACTTTCACTAATCTTCCCAGACCAGAGATGGCTGCTGCCATGCTAGCTGAAAAGTTGCATGCAACAATTCACCTCTAGGGCAAGGATGGCACTGTGACCAAGTCGTAACTCTGCAGAAATATTAAGAGAATCTGCAACTCGTTCCAAGCACCAGGAGGTCGCAATTCAGAACAGGGTTGGTGGCCCTGAAATTGCATTTTGCTCTACAGTTTTACGGTTTACAACTTTTATGACTTTAGGGTGTCATGCCGAATTGCCATAATTCAGATAAAATGGTTTAGATTTTGTTTTGGTATGTTTAAGGCTCCAGCTCACAAACCAAATAACTTAGTAAGTTCTCAAGCCAGCTTGCAAGGAGCTTTAGGTATGTTACATATAAATTAATCATTCCCAAATTTTCTGTTTCTTTAATTTTTATTTGACCAACTGAATTTGTTATTTTTTAAATGGGGGCTTTTGCACATATAACCCACCCTAGGTTAATAAAGGAGTGTAGCTCAATGGTAGCATGTATCTTACAAGTATAAAGATGGCAGTTCAATTCTGCCCACTCCTATTGTGATTGTCACCATGATCACTGGCATCAAGGAGAAGGTTGTAAAATAAAATGGTTCAGATTTGGTATGTTATAAATTAATCATTTTCATAAATTCTGTCTCTTTGGTTTTTGTTTGATCAACTGAACTTGTTATTTAAATGGGGTAGGGTTGTTGGTGTATTGGTGTGCCTAAATTCAGGGAAAATTCAAAACAGCAACTCAGGTTGCAACTGCTTGAGTTGGAGAATTTTGTACCAGTCTTAACACCAACTTTATTCTAGAGAGGTCTGAGGGGAAGATAAGGGGAAAGTTTTGTCTGAAGCCTTCCAACATGTTCAGGACCACTTCACCTGTGGGGAAAAAACTCCATGGTGCTGAATTGTGCTTAATTGCACTGTCCTGCATGTTTGTGATAGGGAAATTTTAATTAAATCTGACACCTGCAATCAATATCAGATTTATTATTCATGAGCAACCATGATTGATAATCAGGAAAAGTAATTTATTATTGTGAATCCCAGAGATCTGGGTAGACATGCATTATTAAAAGTTTCATTTATGCATGGCCTTGGTATTATTACTACTACCTGGGTGATGCAATTGTTTGTTATGTCAATTATAACATCAAATGTATTGAATAATAATCATGATCATCATGAATATTTGATGGATGGAGGCATTCACATACAGGGAAATGATTAAATAGCTAAGTCATGTTTGTTTTGTTTTATTAAAGATATATAATTAATTATATTTAAAATATACAATAAAAAAATTGCCAGAGCAATTACATGGAATCCAAGGCTGACCAATTACACCATTTCATGTTCCATGGTCAATCAAGCAATTATTTGAATACATTTGGTGCACTTTATAATCTTATTGAAGGAGATAGGTTTGTATGTAATTTATAATTTTTTGTGTTAATTTAGAGTCACATCTTTCTTTGTTCTTGTAGGTAGCATTTTACAAATCAAGTTATTTACCTTAATGTAATAATTATTATATCAAATTAATTTAACTAGTTTCAAAAATTGATAAAATTGGATATTTATAATATTTATAAAAAAAAATTTTTCATGTGTATGCACTTTTTTTTTGTTTGTTAAAAAAGATTTCAGTGAAGTTTAATATGCATTGTTTTTTTTCAAATAGCTCAACTGATAATAAGGATACCGGCTGCAACTTTTGATGATGGTTGCTACCATCTTTGCGTCATATAAAAACAATTGCAACCACTGGTTGCAACCACCTTTACAACCATTTTGTTTCCTTTTTTGGATTGCGACATGGAACACTATTACACATACACTTTAGCATAATTATTTTAGGAACAAGATGGAAGGCCAACAACCAGATCAATTCACGGTTTTGATGACTGCCATACAACAATTGGCTACTTCTCAACAAAATTTGGTAAATGCCTTGGAGACAGGAGAAAATACACCTAGTACTAACAATCCAAAAATTAGTGTTAAAATTCCTAGTTATAAAGGAGAACCTAAAGAGAATATAGTAGCCTGGCTGCTACAAGTACAATCCATTTTTAAAGCACAAGGAATTACTAATGATGCTGCACGAATTAATTATGCTGCTACAGGACTAGAAGCTGCCACTTTACATTGGTATCTTAATAAGGTAGTAGCTGCTGGAAATGAGGCTCCCTTTGACGATTGGGATGCATTTGTAAATGACATTTGTCAATCTTTTCAACCTCCAAATTACCAACACCATCTTCGACAACAACTTAAACGATTAAGACAAACAGGATCAGTACAGGAGTATGGATCACAATTCAGAAATATTATAGGACAAATAGAAAACATGAATGAAATTGATAAAATCACTTACTTCACAGAAGGATTAGAACCTGCAACCCAAATGGAAGTAGCTTACCAGTCTCCAAATACTTTTGATGAAGCTTGGGCATTAGCTATACGCTATGACACTGCAATGTTTGGCACTAATAGACCTTTTGTGAATAAATCTCAACAGCCACAACATCAGCATTTCACACCTAGGTCACAGAGAGGAAATGGAGGTCCTGTACCTATGGAATTAGATTATGCTGGTACATCATCATCAACGAATAATTATAATACTAGTAGCAATCACACACATAAACCATTGAAGGGAAACTGTTTCAAATGTGGACAACCAGGCCATTATGCAAGAACTTGTCGTAATAAACCTAAATCAAAACTTACAAACATAGAAGAGTCACATCAACAACAATCACAACAAATTACTCATAATAGTATGGAACTTACTCAGATAGAAGAAGACCATGAATGCTTACTTAGAATCAAAGGACAAATCAACGGTCATACTGCTTGGATCTTGATTGACAGCTGAGCATCTAGAAATTTCATTAACCATGAATTTGCACAAAGAAATAACATTGTTACTAAGCAAGTTCCATCAATATCTGTAGAATTGGCAGATGGAAGTAAATCTGAAACAAATAAAAGCGTCAATATAAAAGAGTTAAAATTGGGAACTTATCATACCTCTGACATTACAGCTCAAGTAATTAATTTACAACGATATGATGCCATTTTGGGTAAACCTTGGCTATATCACGCTAATCCAAACATCAATTGGAGAGCCAACACACTTACATTCCAATATGGCACCAAGACAATTGTAGTTCCTGCTGATGTAAATAATAAACAAGTTGAATCCAGCTGTCATTCTATTTTCATTTCAAGACAACAGTTTGCCAAGACACCTTCTACTGATGAATTATTTGCTGTTTGCCTGGCTAATATAACTGATGAAAAATTTTTTACTATGGTACCAGAAGTTAAAACACTTGTTCAAGAATTTTCAGATGTGTTTCCTGAAAATTTACCTGATCATCTACCACCAAAACGAAATGTTGACCATGCAATTGAATTAATCCCTGGATCTGAACCTCCTTCTCGTCCAATTTATAGAATGTCTTTTGATGAAATGAATGAGTTAAAGAGACAATTAGCAGATCTTTTAAAGAAAGGTTTTATTCGTCCTAGTATCTCACCTTTTGGATCACCTGTGCTTTTTGTTCACAAAAAGGAAGGAACTCTTTGTTTGTGCATTGACTATAGAGCTTTGAACAAGATCACAATTAAAAATCGATATCCATTGCCAAGAGTTGATGAATTGATGGATAGACTTGTGGGTGCCAATTACTTTACCAAAATAGACCTGTACTCTGGATATCATCAAATTAGAATCAAAGAAGATGATATTCATAAAACAGCTTTTAGAACTCATTATGGACATTATGAATTCTTGGTTTTACCTTTTGGACTGACTAATGCACCTGCAACATTCATGACCCTCATGAATGATATTTTTAAACAATATTTAGATCAGTTTGTTATCATTTATCTTGATGTTATTTTAATCTATAGTCATACAAAAAGGGAACATCTTCAACATATTAGATTAGTTTTGGGAATTCTTAGAAAGCATCAATTGTATGCAAAGATTAATAAGTGTGAATTCTTTAAAAAGAAAGTTGAATACCTTGGTCATTATATTTCATCGGAAGGAATAGCAGTAGACACTCGAAAAATTGATATCATTAAAAATTGGCCTACACTTAAAAATGTTTCTGATGTTAGATCTTTTTTAGGTTTAGCAAGTTATTATCAAAAATTTGTTAAAGGATTCTCTGCAGTAGCTGCGCCTCTTACCAATTTATTACAAAAAGAATCATCATTTAAATGGGGTGATAAAGAACAACAAGCTTTTGATCAACTCAAACACCAGTTGACATCTGCTCCAGTCTTGCTTATACCAGACCCTACAAAGCCTTTTATTCTAACAACAGATGCTTCTGATTTTGCAATAGGTGCAGTGTTAAGTCAAAATCAAGGGAAGGGTGAACAACCAGTTGCATATGAGTCTCGTAAATTGTCTAATGCTGAACAAAATTACCCTACACATGAAAAGGAACTGTTAGCTATTGTTCATGCTATAAAATTGTGGCGTACTTACCTGGAAGGACAAAAATTTACAGTCATGACTGATCATGCATCTCTTGAATTCATTAAATCTCAAGCAAACCTCTCACGAAGACAAGCCAGATGGTTAGAGTTGTTGCAATCAATAGATTTTGAAGTAAAATATCACCCAGGCAAGACTAATGTAGTTGCTGATGCTCTCTCTTGCTTATCTCATCTTGCTAATGTTTCAATTATCTCTACACAATTGGACAATCATGTTAATTGGAAAGAAGCTTATTTAAATGATAAGTATTTTGGTCTTATCTGGAATATTTTAAATAATTCAGAAAATAGTGATGCGAAGCAACAAGCAAGAGCTAAATATTTTGAGCTTCAAAATGGTAAAATATACTTAATAGATGGAAAAAGACTAGCAGTCCCAGCCGACAAAGCCTTACGAACAAAAATTCTAAAGGAACATCATGATGTTGAGATTGCTGGTCACCTTGGAATTGATAAAACATGTGAATCACTTATGAGAAATTTTTATTGGCCAAAAATGAGTAAAGATGTACGTAAATATATAATTACCTGTGATGAATGCCAACGAAGCAAGAGTAGTAATCAAATGCCTGCAGGACTGTTACAACCTTTATCTATACCAAATCTGAGATGGGAACAAGTCGCTATGGATTTTATTGTTCAACTCCCATTAACACGCCAAGGAAAAGATGCAATTGTAGTATTTGTTGATAAATTAACCAAGCGAGCACATTTCTGTGCAACTAACACAACTATTACTGCTCCAGAGGTTGCAAAAATTTTCTTTTCAGTAATTTTTAAAAATCATGGATTACCCAAAGTAATCATTTCAGACCGAGATTCAAAATTTACCAGCAATTTCTGGAAAGCGCTTTTTCAACAATTAGGTACTAAGTTGTCAATGTCCACAGCTTTTCATCCTCAAACAGATGGTCAAACTGAATGGATGAATCATACATTAGAAGAATTGTTAAGAATTTATGCAACATACAATCAAGACCAATGGGATTAATACTTACCTGCAGCAGAATTTGCATACAATAATTCAAAAAATATCTCCACAGGTTTCACACCATTTGAACTTGATTGTGGATATCATCCAAATACCCCTGTGACAATTTCGTTAAATAATTCCACTAGAGTTGCCACTGCTAATGAATTCCTTGATCATTGGAACAATATGATCATCAGGAAATTAATTTAGCGTAAACTTGCATAAATCTTACGATGCCGACGTAATATTGTGTAAATCTTACAGTGCCGACGTAAGTTTTACACTTTTTTATTATTAAACTTACAATTGACATGTGTAAAATTTTTTTATATTTTCCGGATGATGAAAATAGCAAGAGATTCATTAATATTAGCACAAGAAAGGCAAATTAAATATTCAAATCAACATCGACGCCATGTAGAATATAAAATAGGTGATAAAGTCTTATTATCCACACAAAATATTAATGTGCCTGTAAATAAAGAAAGACCTACAAGAAAACTTAATCCTAAATATATTGGTCCATATAAAATGATATCAGAAATATCAAAAACAGCATATAAATTAGAATTACCAACAAATTTAAAAATTCATCCAGTGTTTCATGTCTCACTTCTTAAATCATATAAAGAATCTGATGAATTCATAAGGGAAATTCCACCACCACCTAGCATAATGGACATTCATTTATCACATAGTGACAAAATTGAATGCAGATCTTTTTTATGCTGTGCAATAGCATAATTTCAATTGTTTTAAAATAGAAAAGGCTGGTTATAACACGGATGATTAAAAACTACTTGTAAAATGATGATGTTTTGCTTGAATATACTTTTCGTTAGTTAAAAGGCTTGGACAAAAAGATCAAGGGAGATCATTGATTTTGAAGGATTTCAATATGTACCGAATTTTTTCAATTTTATAAACATAATTTTATACAAAAAATAAAAAAAATATTTATTAATCTTGAAAGGTAATTCTCAAAGAAAAACAAACTAGATTATAAACTAATATATAGACAGGTAAAGAAATAATATATATAACATACACATATTTGCACACATATATATAAACTATTATTAAAACAACTATTTTTTTTCATTATTTCAAAGATGACAATTCTCAAAGAAAAACAAAACTGGATTATAAAATAATATATATTATATACATATATATATAACTATTATTAAAAAATTATTTTTTTATTATTTCAAAGATGACAATTCTCAAAGAAAAACAAAACAAAACTGGGTTATAAAATAATATATATTATATACATATATATATACAGTAACTATTATTAAAAAATTATTTTTATTATTATTTCAAAGATGACAATTCTCAAAGAAAAACTGAATTATAAAATAATATATATTATATACATATATATATATAACTATTATTAAAAATTATTTTTATTATTATTTCAAAGATGACAATTCTCAAAGAAAAACAAAACAAAACTGGATTATAAAATAATATATATATATATATATATAACTATTTTTTATTATTTCAAGGATGACAGAGAATCCTCAAAGAAAAACTAATATATAGACATAATAAGCAGGTAAAGAAGCAATATATTTATTTATACTGTATATATATACAACTATTATTAAAAAATATAAGGAAAAATATCTCAATTCTATTTTTTTTTTTTTATTTCAAAGATAACAGAGAATCCTCAAAGAAAATCAAAATTAGATAGATAATAAGGTGTATTACAACTAATATAAATAATAGGTATACTTCATTGCATATTTAATAACATTAAAGGTTGATCATGATGTAAAATTCAATTTATATGTGGAAGGGATATATAGGCATATGAATAATTGATATCATTCAAAATGATGTGAATGTGTTAATATTAGATGGGAAATCTACATTTTTTTGGTAGGAAAAAAACACATGTATTCATAATTGTAGCATTTATAATTTTTGAAGTGCATTCTTCTTCATATTTGGTTAATTACCCACCCAATGCAAAGAGGAAAAATGATTGGGATTGCAAAAGAAACTATTTATTATGATTTTATGCATACATTTTATATTCATATTCAATTAACTACATTGGATGTTGACCATCCTAAAACAATTTTAATATTTGACAATTTGAAAAATAAAATTTTTTATTAATAGTAATTGTTTAAAGTTGTATATATATATAAATTATAAATTATGTGTTTTTGTAAAAGATCTTCAAGCCAATAAAATTTGATTTTTGTGTGATTTTTTGGAGGGTGATCATCGTAAAATTGTGTATGCACTTTTTTTTTGTTTGTTAAAAAAGATTTCAGTGAAGTTTAATATGCATTGTTTTTTTTCAAATAGCTCAACTGATAATAAGGATACCGGCTGCAACTTTTGATGATGGTTGCTACCATCTTTGCGTCATATAAAAACAATTGCAACCACTGGTTGCAACCACCTTTACAACCATTTTGTTTCCTTTTTTGGATTGCGACATGGAACACTAACTGATAACTAAATAGTTTCAAAAAGATTTGATTTTCCATATCCTTTATTAAATAATATATATAACAATAATCTCTTATTTATTTAGTTGATCAATAAACCTCAGGTCTATCTTATCCATTTTTAGTATGTAATAAATAATAGATAATTTAATCTTGACATAATTATTTTTCATGGAACCAATTGAGGATTTTTATTCTCTTTTATATCAATTATTGAATCTATGCTTGAAAATACTTCTGTCTGCCTACTTTGCTTGTCACCACAGGACCAATTTAAAACCTCTTCAATTTTAAAATAAACAAAAACCTACAAAGTGAACATAAAATTATATATATAGGGATAAGTGTATATGAAAAGTAATGTAAATAATAATCATAATGGTTCTAATGAATATCAAAAAGCTATTGATTTTTTAGAAAAAGGTTGCAATTGTGGTTGCTCTTCAAGAATTCCCAAGGAACAATTTGCAGAATTAAGAGAATCATTTCAAGCCCTTTCTAAAGTAGAACAAGACATATTTTTAATGGCCCAACTTAAGGCAATGGATGGTGGGTCAATAAGCAGTAGTAGACGCCTTAAGAAGAAAACCAGATCTAATAAAAGAACTTTCTATCATTGGGATCACAATACACCTCTTTGTCAAGAAACTTATCTCAATATGTTGGGAATTGGTAGAACTTACTTTGAAAATATTAGAAGCCATCTGATAAACAATGGTCTTCTAGCAAGAGTTCATGGCAATATTAAAAGAATGCCTCAATGGAAAACTAAAATGGTGATTGACAAAAATGTTGTTGAGGTAGTAAAGAATTTTCTGGAAAATTATGCAGAAGTTCATGGATTGCCAAGTCCAGGAAGAAGTATCAATAGAATAACCCAATCAATTGTATTCTTACCAGCTGAAATGAGTTACAAATCAGTGTATAGAGATTTTCTAGCTGGTCTGGAGGAAGATAGTAATTTGAAATCCTTAAAATATGATGCCTTCAGGAAGTTATGACATCAATTAACACCAGAAATTCAAATTATGAGTCCCAGGACTGACTTATGTGATACTTGTCAACATTTTAGAGATGGTTTACATTA